ATCAGCATTATGGTGGAATATGAGAAGGGAATAGAAAACCAGCAACAGAATCTACTCCAACAGGCAGTTTATTATTAAGTTGCACTACTCATTTAAAAATACAATTATATTGGATTTTATAAGTTCAACATTCTGGCTAAAATTACTGAGTGGATATCCCATAGAATAATTTGTGCGATGAAAATCTACATATAATAGTTGATAATATCTACTAGATCGAAAAGAAACATTTATTCTAATAGATGAAATTAGGAAATCAGAGTGTATATTACCATTTAATATTTTTAGTACCATCATATTGTTCAACAATATACTTTTTAATGTAGGTAACCGAATTACTAACATAAGGGTATAGCAGCGATTTTTACACAAATGTTGGTCGATTAAACGGATGAAAGAATGATGCTTTCACGAAAGCAACTGAGGATGTTGTGGAGGTGGATCGGTCATACTGTGTGATGATTACGATGACACGGCAGATATAGCATACCAACAAGAACTGCATAGTCAACATTATGTCTACCACAATTTCCCCCTATTATAGTACAATCGAAATTGTTTATAACGACGAAATCCCAAAGTTACGAATTTCTGCCCACACAAAAGAATATCGTTTGTAACGTCGACACATCGGTTGAAACAATTTTTTTTGGAAAACAATTTGAATTTTCCTGTAACGAACTACTAACAAAAATATTTCGTACAAAATATCCAACACACAGCCTGTTCGAAGCTATTATTATGGTTTATTACTTTGTTCTTAAAGGGACCCCCCATTCTCGGTTTCAAAAAATTTAATTTTGTATTTTGATTTAATTCGAATCTACAATAATTCAAGAATATCCCTATGAAATTTCAAGTGATGTATTGTGCTAGCATCAAGAGGGCTTCTCAAACTTTAAACGCATTTTTCTCCAAACGTCATTTTTGCGAATGGAGGGCACGATAACTCAAAAACTAATAATCCGAACGATTCCAAATTTTAAATCCAATCGGTCAAGATTTTTCTTATTTTTTAACTCGGTTTGTGGTAAAAAAATAGGCGATTTTCCAAAAATATTTTTTGGATTCCGATGTTCCAGTGAGGAATGATAACTCCTCACTCCGCCCGCCATCAAAAATAAGGACTTTTCTTTAGACCCATAAAACAACAAACTGTAGTTTGAAATGTTCGCTATTTAGAAAATTTGTATTAACGGCACCCAAATGTATATTATCTAAAGCTTTTATGTATTCTAATGATAGACAAATCTTTATATAATTGCATATAAATATCTCTCAATTAACACTCCTTTATTTAATTTTTTTTCTGTAAAAAAACAACATTTATTAAAAATTTATTACGAAATATAGATATATCTAGGTTTATAAGGGAGATACCATAAAAAGTATATCAATATTGATCATGGTAGAAAGATTTGCTACACAATGTCAAAATACTAAATTACAGTCAACTCGGTTGAAGAATGTGCCCATACTCCCCAAAATACCGAAAATTAGGAGCTATATCAGCCTTATTCTGTATATTCGCTAGCGAGATTTCTCGCATGTAAAAAATGTTTCGCATTCACACTCTCGACTTATTCTGAATGAATAGCGAGAAGCAAAAAATGCGAGATGCGGATTCGATTTTTGAAAATTGTGGTTGAAAAGAAGGTACGTGTTGCCATATTGTAATTTAAGTTGTAATGTGTGTTGCCCCATTGTAATTTAATTTTGTAATATTTTTCATTATCTTCAGTAGTGTTGGCGGGTTATTTGGGATACCATTTGTATTTTATTTTGCAAAATAGTCAGGCTGAATCCCAGTTTGTTGTTTTTATAAAAATAAACAACTATTTATTAGTGCGGAATGTATGGCATTATCCGCCTAGGGGTAAGGCGGGGAAGACTATAGTTTCGGATCTCGCCACTGATCCTCATCAGTTCCCTTAGTTTTTTGTTGGGATATTCTCCCCAGAAGCTATTTATAGCTTCTTTACAAAAAACCTTTCAAACCCAAATGTCTCTTGTGACAATTACCAGCGATACGACCCCAATGAGAAGTTCGTTTCATTGGCACCTGACTTCGTGGTCAGCAAGGCATTTGCAGACAACTACAATACATTTCCATTTACAATGCACATAACGTTGTTGTTGGTATTACTAGTTAAAGCAATAAACCATATAGTATGACCGTGCCTTCGTCTACAACTTCAGTGGAGTTGGCGGGTTATTTGGGATACCATTTGTATTTTGTTTTTGCAAAATAGTCAGGCTGAATCCCAGTTTGTTGCTTTTATAAAAAAAAACAACTATTTATTAGTGGGGAATGTATGACATTGTCCGCCGAGGGGTAAGGCAGGGAAGACTGTAGTTTCGGATCTCGCCACTGATCCTCATCAGTTTCCTTTATTTTTTGTTGGGATATTCTTCCCTGTATAGTCTTCCCTGCCTTACCCCTCGGCGGACAATGCCATACATTCCCCACTAATAAATAGTTGTTTTTTATAAAAACAACAAACTGGGATTTAGCCTGACTATTTTGCAAAAACAAAATGTTTCATTATTTTATTTTTTAAAAATAATTTGTTCCTTTTTGTTGTTATTTAAACTTTATAACAATATAAATATGAAATTTTAACAATCCGCTGTAAAACTGCTATGTAATTAAAAGAAAATAAATTAAAGTTTGAAAATATGGCAACATACAATATGGCATGTGAAACAGCTGTTTATTGTTTTGATGCAATTTGGTGCAACAACTACAACAGATTGAATTAAATTAATTTGCAGTTTATTATTTCACACCATAATTGTGTGCCATTTTATTTAATTTCGATATTTTATGTCCTCAAATTCTTAAAGTGACCAATTATTTTATGACCTGCTCCTCCTCTTTTTTAATTGTTCTTTAATAATTCTTATATGAGTTTTCACTGTTAAGCGGCTCATCTGGCAAATTTGGCTATGTTGTTTTTTCATAATTTTTAATATTTTTTCTGGAGAGACAGATCCTCACACAAAATGTCTTTATTTCGCTTCTAAATTGTATCAAACTCGGCTTAAATATTCCTTATTGCCTTTATAGATTCGGTGGCAATATTTAGTTGATCATGCATCGTTATCAATAGGATTTCCAATGGCATATTATTTGTTGTTTTTGAGTTAAAAATATGCATAAAACCATTTATAATATTCAAAATCGTCATAAATTTATTAGCGAAAGATTTCGCACAAATGTCATCACATTCTCGCACTCTCTGTAATCAGAATACCTAATTTTTCCCCAAAGCGGATTTTTTCGCTTTCGAACTTCATTCAGAATAAGGCGAAAGCGAGAATGCGAAAAAATTCACTGTAAAATGTTGTTCAGAATAAGTCGAAGGGAAAATGCGAGTAAATTCACGTGGAATTGACACCCAGAATAAGGCTGTATATATCAAAAAAAATGAACCAATATGATAGATCTTGGTTGAAAGATGTGTCCCATCCAATGAAAACACACCAAGTATTGTCAATTTGATTGAAAAACGTGCCCAAAATACCGTATAATAAATCGACAATGAGTTTTATTCTGATCATGAATATATATACAGTGGTGGTCAAAACAGTTGCAACTGAAATTGAATATGTGGAAATGTGTAGTAGCCTCTTTATTTTATGATAAAAAAATAGGTCAACTTTTTATTTTTTTAACTCTTTAGGTTCAATTGAAACTCTAATTTTAATATTTTCTAGAAATTTTTGATATTTTCTGTAAAATTTACTGATATCGATTTTATAACTTTGTGTGATGTGTGGCTGCTTGCAGAGATGACTTTGGATGTATAAAAGTCGATCTGTACGTCTGTACAACCTTGGTTGATTAATAGAAATTAAGTTACGGGCATTCCAAAGCCATGATAAGCGGTTGGAAATTATCCTTTCCAACAGTTTTATTTGGTTTGGGCAAAGGAACTATGACTGCCGATTTCGATTTCGACTGATTCCGGTGTCAAAGACTGAGTTGTAAGAAGAGAGTTATTTAAGTTTGCTTTTGTTGTATAGATTCTTTAACTTTAACAAAATTCATGAAAAATTGCCTTATTGGTGGTCAATAAGTGACTAATAATAATCGCGCAATAATACTCACTTTAAGCCCTTTACATGCAAAATCGGTCGTTTCATTTTATACAGAGAAAACAATAATATTCCAGATGAAATAACAAAATCCCTTACACGAAAAACAATAGCGTGATTTTTAATTATTTCTTTCTTTTAATTTAATTTTTATTTAAATATTAATTTGAGTTTTTTCTTGTTTGTTTCATTTTATTATTTAAAACATTGGCATTGTAATTAATGGTTTTTGCATTTGATTATTTGTGTTTTAACGTTGTTTTTCTTGTTGTTGTAATGCTATTTCAATTATTATGTATTATTTTATTATTATTTAAGCAAAAATTATAATTAAACTAGAGAACATCTTAAATTTGCTGTTACAAACTAAACTTATAGAAACAATCGAATCGACAAGAGGAACAGAATCAAAACATAAATTCAGATTTACAGATAATTTACAGCAATTATTACGAGGGGAGATTTATTTTGTTCCGTTCTGTTCTGTCTTTCGTTTGCGAACTGCCCCGGCAGTTGAGAACATCCGACGTTGCACGATGGCTGTGTGTTATGTTTCAACAACATCCCAACATTCTCAAACCATCACTTAAGGAAAGATGTTCTCCGCCGCAGTCCGAACTTAATTTCCACTAAATACTAAATAATTATTAATTTATTTAAGAAAAATACGTAAATCAAAATACCATAAGTAAATCATAAAAAAAAATTGAAAAAATAAATGTAACAAAAATGTTTGTGTGCTTTTTGAGGAGGTTTGTTTGTTTGCATGTGATCGACGATACTTTGACGATGATTTCTTCTGCTGAAATGAAGAGTAGAGGAGCAGGAGCAGAAAATCAGTTGGTCTTCTATTCATTCTATGAAAAATGACTTTTTTGTTGCTTGGGTGGTGTGTGTGTTTGTGGTGCACGTGGCACTTAGTGTTTAATTGAAGAGAGTGTTTGCGCAACTCCGTTCACAGTCTTTGATTTCAGGACATCATTTTCATATGAAAATACAGTTTCCTTGCCATTTTCATAGACCCTAGAAGAAAAGTATAATTAACAGCGAACTTAATACAGCAAATGGACATACATACCGTTTAGTCATTAACTTTTTGCCATTGACAAATGTTGTTGATGTCGAAGTTCGCTTAACGGCGCCATTTGTGCCAGCACCACCTGACCGGCCTCCAGCTCCACTTGACATACTGCTGAAGCTGGAGAAAGAGGTAAATCCATTGGAGGGCATTAGGAAATCCATCATTGCATAATTGAGCATAGGTGAACCGTAAGGGGAGGACAATTTTGTAGTTCCTCCATGATGGTGAGAACGACTACTACCACCAGAGGTACCATTTGAACGTCGCGTACCTGGTTGTTGATAACTGTGAACATCTAAATATACAACAAATATTATAAATTATTCGTTCAGTTTCGACCAACGCTTTCATTACCTCTAAACAAATCGGCAAATGGTGAATGTCCTCCGAAAAATTCTCGGAAAACTTCTTCAGGAGGGCGGAAGACAAATGGAAAACCACCGATGACATCAAATTCATCGAAATCGTGTGCATTATATCTTGATGAACGATGATGTCCTCGGTCACCCAACAAACCTTCTTTTCCATACTGGTCATATACCCGTCGTTTCTTCTCTAAAAGTTAGAGTGAAAGTAAAAATAATAAAAAAGCATAATTAGAATCCAAAGGAATGCAAAATGTATTTATGTTTTAGTAGGTAACAAAAACAAAGACATTTCAAAAAAAGTTTAAAATATGTTAAGCAGGATCTGCACTCACTATTGCACAGATGATCAAACTGATATGAATTTAAAATATTTTTTTAGGTTAATGGCGAAGTTGTTTAAGGATTTTAAGTATATCGTAAGAAAATCAGATACATGAGAAGTAAGGTAGTTTGTTTTGCTCCTCAAAGCTCAAAATGTATCAACTATTCCCCTTCAACGTCAAAATTGAAATAGCAAAGGGGAAAGGGGATCGTAAAAATGGCTTTCTGTAAAATTTACTTTTTAGTTATAGCAAAATAGTCAGGCTTAGTTCTAGTTCGTTTCTTTTTATTAAAACAACTATTTATTAGTGGGGAAAGTATGTAACTTTCCACCAAGGGGTGGGGCCAAAAACAACGAACTGAGATACGCCTGACTATTTTACAATAACAAAATACAAATGGTATCTCAAATAACCAGCCAACACTACTGAAATTTTACTTTTTCTATTTCCTATGATATAATGATTAATTTTACGTTGATGACCTATTTTGTAATATAACTGTAATAAAGGGTTTAAAAAACGTCTTAATAATTTTATATATTTCATATCTTTTGTTCTTAGGACTTTACTCTTTAAATCGTATTAAAGTTTCCTGAATATTATACTATAAAAAATCCACCAAAGAAGAACATATAGGATTATATCATCACAGCTTATTTTTTTATTATTTTATGCAAAGATTATTACTAACTATAGAAATACATATTCTACGCATTACGCTATATGAACTAGCCAAATTCATGTACAATGGTAAACTTCAATAGCATATGGGCATTTCCGGCAAAAGATAAACCAAAGTCGAAGAATTTGTTTCTTTTATTGTGCTTAAATATGAGGAGGCCCTCAATTTTCTTTTACCACTAATAGTACTCGTAAAGTGTTACAAAAAAGTATTAGGGGTGAATTGTAAACAATGTGATTGTATTTCATTTTTGAATATTTAAAGTTTGATTTTGCCTCTGAAAGTCGTATAAGTGAATGCGGAAGTGCCCATATACATATGTAAGTATTTTTCTCATTCGGCCTAAATTTTATACGGAAAATTTTAATTAGTTTGAAAAACATTACCATTTATGTTAACATTTCATAAATAAAGAGCAATGCAAAACTGAGCCCAGCGTTTATGTATCGCTGGCTTAACATGAAAAAGCAATAAGTACACTTTTTTCTATAAATTGAGATTTTGATACAGACATGTACAGTAAGTAAAAAAATCGATTTAATAAAAAAATTTAAATCATTTGTCGTTGTTTTGTAGTGATGAGTACAATATATCACACATCAAGTTATTGCCTTTACATGTTAGATGAGAGATATTTTGATTTTATAGCATTATCATGTGCATATATTGTTAAGATTGCAGCGGAATTAGTAGAACATGTAAACATTGAAAATATAAGGATGTGAAAAATAGTGAGTGGCTTGGTCGATATATTTCATGCTCAAGATTTGGTAATGACTGAAGAGCATAATGGGTTATTTTTTAGCAGTGATTGTTTATGTTAACTTCTCGCCGACACTCAAATACGAATTAGAAAACAAATCATTAGCAATAGCAACAATAGAAACAACAATTAATTTCAACACGAAACTAAATTAGCCAGTAGCAGCAGATTATTGATATGGTAGAAAACAAAAAGACACAACGCACAGTAGTTTGAAAATATATTTTTTAGAAGCTTTAAAATGTTTTACACTATAAGGAAGATATTTCTGGGATGCCAGGGATATAAACTCATAAGGAAAGAACAGAACTTCATCACTATATAAACATGAAGTAATTTATTAAAATCCGAACGAAGTCCATTCATTGAGAATATTTTTGCATTTTATTTGTCCAGAATACAAGACGTAAATGCAATTGAAGTCGAACAACCTAAAGAAATTTTACTTGTCTAGTTTTATTTTTAAGAACTTTTCGAACACATACGTATACATTTTCAAGACTACCTCTATACCGTCACCTCCTCTAAAATTAGTACCAAAAACCCTTTGGTCCTTCTTTCTAACTCTCTGTCAATGTCCAACATTCTAAATTTTAGGTTTACAGCTCTCTCCGTTACCCAAATTCAAAATATTCCAAATTTAGTGAATTTTCTTCCACCATCCAAATTGTTCCAAATTTAGTGGTTTTCGTACTCATAAGTAAAAATTTCCAAATGTACCTCAATCCTTCTTTCAGATAGTCCAAATTTAAGAATTTCAGCTCTGAGTGAAACCATTCCGCACTTTTCGTACCCATAACCAAACCAATCTCAATATACCAAACCTGCTTTCAATCGTAAGTCCAAATTTAAGAATTTCAGCTCTATCTGTTCACTAAACTGTACCATATTTGGTACCATTCTGTACTTTTCCTACACTCCCAGAGTAACCTAAGTTGCAACATTCAGGATTCGAGTTCTACCCGTTCACCAAAGTCCAAATTGTACCAAATTTTTTGGTTGTCGTACCCAAAGTACAAATTTCCAAAAATACCTCAGTCATGCACTCCAATAACAACCTTAGGTCCACATTTAAAGATTCCAGCTCTATTCGTTCACCAACATCCAAATTGTACCATTTATTACTTTTCGTAGACGTAAGTATGAGTTTCTAAAACTGCCTCAATTTCCCACTGAAACAGTAATTTTATTCATTAATTTCAGGATAACAGCACTATCTCTTCACATAGATCATTCACAATTTGTATCATATTTAGTACTTTTCGTACTCATGAGTTCGAATTTCCAACACTCTCTCAATCCTTTGCTATAAGAGTAATTTTATTTTCAAATCCATCCATCTCTATCCTTTCACTCAAATCTAAATTGTACTAAACTCAGCACCATTTAGTACAGATAATTACGTATTTTTAAAACTACCTCATCCTACACTCCAACCTTATTTTTAAGTCCAAATATTAGGATTCCCGCCCACACAAAAAGAATTGTACCATATTTAGTACCAATTAGGTCTTCTCGTATCCATAAGTACGAAATTCCAATACTTCCTTAATCTTGTAATTTTAATTCCAAATTTACGTTTACTATCTCTATCCGTTAACTCGAATCAAACTTGTACCAAAATTTTTTACCATTTAGTACACATAATGACGAATTTTAAAAAATTACCGACATATCTCAATTCTGCACTCAAACTGTAATATTAATTCAAAATTTCAGAATACAGCCCTATCCGTTCACACATTTGTAAGCTTTTCGGTACCATTTAGTACTTTTTGTTTCTATAATTAAACATTTCCTAAACTATGTCAATCCTACACTCCAACAGTAATTTTAATTAAAAAATTCGGGAGTCCAGCACTATCCGTTCACACGTAATCAAGTTGTACCAAATATAGTACTATTTAGTAGTAGGTAGGTGACATGCTTCCATATCTCAATTCTATATTCAAACATCAACCGTTAGTCCAAATTATTGGTTTCCAGCTCTCTCCGTTCACCCAAATCCATCTAGTGCCGCTTAGTACTTTTCGTATACATAAATACGAGTTTCCAAAGATGTCTCTATAGCTCAATCTACAACAGAAATTTCAGGTTTTCAGTTCTATCCTTTCAATCAACATCCAAATTGTACTAAATTTAGTACCATATATACCTTTCGTACCAAAAAGTACGAATTGCATAATCTACCTCAGTCCTACACTCCAAAAGTCATTTTAATTCCCAATTTGAAGACTTCAGCTCTATCTGTTCACCTAAATCCAACTTCCACCAAATTTAGTACCAATTAAGTACTTTTCATACAAATAAGTACGATTTTTTAAAGCTAATTCCGATTATCAAGATTCCATCTCTACACACTCAACTGAAGGTAAATAGTACGGAATTTAGTACCATTTTACACTTTTTATACACATAAGTACGAATGTCTTAAACCATTTCCGTACATCAACACCACTTCCCAACATGTTTTCCATTTAAAATGTCAAGATTCCAGCTATATATGTTCAATATATATACAATAGGAACTAAATTCTGTAAAGTTTAGTACCTTTAGTACACTTATATGTCGAATTTCCAAAAACCCTTTTGCACATCTTTCTAACTTTCCATCAGTGACCAACATTCCAAATTTCAGAATTTTAGCTCTTTCCGTTCGCTAATAAAAAGGGTACCATATTTGGTATATTTTAGTACTTTTCGTATCCTTCTACTTCCAACAAAACTTCCGGCATACCCCGATCCTACACCCCCATAATGATAGTACGAATTTCCAATACTTCTTACTAAACCCACACCCCCACAGTTATCCTAAAACCAAGTTTCAGAATTCTAACTCTATCGGTTCATCCACAATTCAATTTGTACCAAATTTAGTACACTGTAGTACGAATTTCCAAAACTTCCTACTTAACCCAAACCTACACTCCACAGTGATCCTAATCCCAAGTTTCCGAATTCCAACGCTATAGGTTCACTCACAATCCAAATTGTACCAAATTTAGTACACAGTAGTATGAATTTCCAAAACCTCCAACTTACCCTAACCCTACAACCCCACAGTGACCCTAAATCCAAGTTTCGTGATTACAACTCTATCGGTTCACTCACAATTCAAATTGTACCAAATTTAGTACACAGTAGTACGAATTTCCAAAACCTCCAACTTACCCTAACCCTACAACCCCACAGTGACCCTAAATCCAAGTTTCAGGATTACAAATCTATCGGTTCACTCACAATTCAATTTGTACCAAATTTAGTACACTGTAGTACGAATTTCCAAAACTTCCTACAGCCCCACAGTGATCCTATATCCAAGTTTCAGGATTCCAACTCTATCGGTTCACCCTCAATTCAAATTGTACAAAATTTAGTACATAGTAGTACCAATTTCCAAAACTTCCTACATACCCCAATCCT